TCTCATGTCGGATAACAATGAAATACATGCTATACATGCAGCTCCACATGCGCCAATATTTAACAATTAATTGATGAACTGAACTCGTGTGTTATAATTAATATTGAAAGTCATCAAAGATTAAAACCTGCAATCAAAGAGTGGAATATCTTTAAAGGAGCATTATGGACTTTTGAATGGATTTAAAATAGAAAGTGTGTTGAGAATAATTTTCCCGCTCTTCATTTTACAGCAACAAAAATTAGAAGAAAATATTCGAATCCTCAATGTATTTCATCTTTTAATAAGGTTGGTAGGCCACGTCTGGAGATTGAGGATTGAACCAACTTTGAAATCTTTTCAAATAACATCAAGTCTTTATTCAATAATTGCCAAATCCTTAAAATTTTCATCTCACGATCTGGCATTAATCATCATAATTTAATAATTCTCTAATAGTAATTGAGGTTCTTCTTTGTCTTTTTTTATCCATTGATGGTAATGATTGAATTAAAGTTGGTGTTGAAGGCTGCTGCTGATCATTAGAAGACGATTCTTCAATTCGATCTTGATGAAGGCTTGCCACTACTGAATCATCACCTCCGCCACCACTACAAACTGTATTATTATTACCAAATTGTATTTTACCAAATTGATCATCATGATGCGATTCAATTCTCTTTTTCTTTGGTTGTTTTTGAATTCCAGATGAGCAAGTATTCGAAGGCTTGAATGGAAATGAAATGACTTGGAAAGGCTTTGAATTATTTGAAAAGTATTCTGTATATTTACTTGTCATTACTTTACAATTATCATCAACAACATCAGCATGATCATTGTTAGATCTTCTAGTTGTTGTTGATGTTGGATTGGAAGAACAAAAATCAACAACAGTTAATTTGAGTGCTTTAGACTTTCTTCTATTCGATTGTTTGTTTGAATTCATTGGATAGAATATTCGTTGTGTGTTTTCTTTCTATATTGTGTTTGGTATGGTTTACTTTCGTGAAATTGTTACTGTTTATAACATGCAGATTTCAGTGAAGCCTTTTAATCTATATACTAAAAATGGAAATTTAACAAAAATATTAAGGATATCTAACCATTTATCATGCAAAACTTCATGAATAAAAAACTCAGTTTGAAGATGCGTTTCCATTCCGTACAATTAAGAAATTTGAAACTTCCAATCTCTATGTTAAAATGTAACTAGATAACGAGAATATTCTTTCTGATTGTTATCTGGAATCTTGAAATGATCTTTTGCAAATTATAGAATGGTCTCTTTTCTGAAATGTGAGTATTAAAGTGAACAATGTAACTTTGAGATTCCATGGTTTATTTACTTATGGGTATCCGTGCCGAGGTTCCATTGCTGCTAGGCTGTGTTGTGGATCCACAACTTGATGCTCACACACAACCGAAAACTACATGTCTTGAGAATATTGCATACAAATATGATTAAAAAAACAATTTATTCTAAATGAAATGTCCATACTGGAAAATGAAATTCCATTTGAGTTTGAGCTGGATTTGTATTGGCTGAATTCTTTCTCTTTTGATATTTTCTTCTTCTTTTCAAATGTTTTGGATTTGAAATTACAATACAATTATTGAGTGGAGTTTTGAATGTTGTTGATAATGAACTGTTATTACCAATTGAGGATACATTACTTGTAGATGATGAGGAGGATGAACTTGAGGTTTTTCTCTTTTCTGATTCGAATGAAGATACATTAGAAATCTTTCTCTTTCTCTTTAGAATACGATTATCATTGAATGTATTGTTTACATTAGTTTGTTGTTGGAGTGGCATCATGGATATTTCAATTGATGATGATGGTGGTGATTGATCCACATATTGTTGATAAGGATTCTTAATGCTCATCAGAAATTGATATGATTCTAAATTGGTTAAAAGTACTTGATCAGCAGTGTCAGTATTAGAAATGGTATTGGTCAGGCTATTTTCGTTATGGTTATTGAATGGTTGCTGATGAGGAGATGAGGTGTTAAGAGTCAGAGATAATGTTTTTGTTGGTGATAGGAACAGTTGAGTTGATGGTTGAGGTGATGGAAATACAATATGGGATTTGGATAAGTGTGGTGGAGTGTCCTTCATATCATCATCATGATCATCAATAGAATTCATAACTGTTGAGCTGATGTTAGTACATTGGATATTATTGAAGGCTGACATTTGTTGAATAGAAGGCTTGTCAACAGGCTGTCTATTAAATAATTGTTGCTTTGGAGTTGTCATCATCTTTAATAATTCCCAACTCTGCATAAACTCAATAACATCAAGATTTAGACTTGGTTCAATACATTGATTGTTAATTGAGTAGTTTGAGAATGATGATGAAAATTGAGTGACCATTCCACAAAGAACATCAACTGTACAGGTATGAGCAGGAGAGGAATATTCATTTATCCAACTTGAAGTCAAGTTATTGCTCATCATAATGTTTGTTTTTTTGAGAATATTCATTGAATATTTCTTCTGCATAAACTCCAAAGAGAATTGCATCTCGCCCAATTTATTCTCTCATATTTCCAATACTTGATGTACTTGAAGAATAATGTTAGTAATTGAGGTCCTTAAAAATACAAAATCCTGAAGCAATACCCAACAATAGAAAGAAATAATCTACAATTCCTAGATTTCATGACTAATTCGGACGATAGTTCTATTGTTGTACAGTGCGAATAAAATCTCTTAAACAATTACAGTTCTTTCATGTCGTCAGCTGTGGCACTCCTTCTTAATAGAATGTCAGTAAGTGTTAGGGTAAATTCTGGTTCATCGTATTTCGAAATTATACAATCTCACTATTACTTGATCATAAATTGTATATTCTTTACAGAAGTTTATTTTCACTTTCATTATTTAATTCAATAAAATTGAAAATTGGTTCATCTTCAATATTTAATAAATTATCTGCTTCTTCAAGTGGTAATGAATAATTATCTTGTTGAATATTAAATTATTCGGACACACAGAGAATATAAAACAAATATTATTAAAAAAACAATTTATTCTAAATGAAAAGTCCAAACTGGAAAGTGAAATTCCATTTGAGTTTGAGCAGGATTTGTATTGGCTGAATTCTTTCTCTTTTGATATTTTCTTCTTCTTTTCAAATGTTTTGGATTTGAAATTATAATACAATTATTGAATGATTGTTGTGAGTGCACATTTGTTGATAATGAACTATTATTACCAATTGAGGATGAATTACTTGAACATGTTGTAGGTGGTGTGGTGGATGAAATTGAGGTTTTTCTCTTTTCTGATTCGAATGAAGATACATTAGAAATCTTTCTCTTTCTCTTTAGAATACGATTATCATCCTTCTTGTTGAATGTATTGTTTACATTAGTTTGTTGTTGGAGTGGCATCATGGATATATCATTTGATGGTGGTGGTGATTGATCATAATGTTCATGATAAGGATTCTTGGGAAATTGATATGATTCTAAATTGGTTAAAAGTACCTTATCAGCAATGTCAGTATTAGAAATGGTATTGGTCAGGCTATTTTCAATAGTATTAGCATTGAAGGGTTGCTGATGAGGAGATGGTGAGGTGTTAAGTGTCAGTAGAGATAATGTCTCAGTTGGTGATGGTAATACAATATGGCATGTGGATGAGTGTGATGGAGTGCACTTAATATCAGCATCAATAGAATTCATAACAGTTGAGGTGATTTTAGTACATTGGATATTATTGAAGGCTGACATTTGGTGAATAGAAGGCTTGTCAAAAGGCTTTCTATTAAATAATTGTTGCTTTGGAGTTGTCATCATCTTTAATAATTCCCAACTCTGAATAAAATCAATAACATCAAGATTTAGACTTGGTTCAATACATTCATCATCTGTAATTGTATTGTTCATTGTTATTGAAGGCTTGTTGTTGGAGAATGATGGAGAGACCATTCCACAAAAAACATCAACTGAACAGGTATGAGCAGTAGAGGAAAATTCATTTATCCAACTTGAAGTCGAGTTATTATTCATCATAATGTTGTTTTTTTGTGAATATTCAACTGAGCATCAAGCAAAAGAAACTTGCATCCTCTATTTCATCCACTCTCATATTTCCAATAATACTTTCCTTGTATTGAATTGTATTGAACGAAACTCGGAAGCAATACACTACAATAGAAAGAAATAATTGACAATTCCAGATTTCATGACGAATTCGGACGATAGTACTATTGCTGTATTGTGCGAACATGGCATGAAAATAAAAACATAATCTCTAAAACACAATTCAGCAATTACATGTCAGAACTGTGATTGTGAATAAATCAGTCGTTTTGACTTTCATGTCACCAACCACTGTTGGCACTCCTTCTTAATGTTTAAATTAAGGAACCAAGTTCATGATACATGGAGTCCAAATTCTTGAGGGATTCTCACATTTGAATCTCAACATGTAGGCTCAATATTACTTGCTAATCATTAGCGTAAAACGATTATTAACAAATTTGATAGAATCCCTTGGTGATTATAATAAGTTTAAATATAAATTTATTATTCTTTAAATAGAAATGAAAATGAACTGATAAAACTATTACCATCACTTTCATTATTTAATTCAATATTATTGAAAATTGATTCATCTTCAATATTTAATAAATTATCTGCTTCTTCTTCTTCTTTAGGTAATGAATAATTATCTTGTTGATCATTATTATCATATACTACAATATTATTAATTAAATTATTATTTATAATATTATTAAATGTAAC